TTCGAATATTGTCCAACTCATTACTTATAAGCATTATTGATGGAATTATACAGCCACAAAACATGATTAATAATTCTTAGAGTTACAACAAGCGTAAGATTTTTGTTGAAATCATCAATTGGCTTTTTTCACTTAATTATTTACATATGTACGATATTCTATGTATATTATATGGCTCATATCGCTAACGATAATGGTCGCAATCGCAGCTCAGACACACATAATAAAAGTTTATCAGGCAACAACTAAAAGAATTGCAAAGTGCATTAGCCGGCGTGTATAATATCGCCATCAAATTTATATTAACGACTACTTGCACTAATTAATGGTGGCTGCTCGAAGGCCCAACAGCAATTACAACAGCGTGAAATCCACATCCACGGCCCAAATGGAGACCGTCACGCAGGGTGCGAAATGCGGAAAATGGCTGGGAAATGAAGTGGAGCACGCGAGACGTGGAAAACAATTCAACACAAATAACACCTAAAGTGAACCGTAACAGCAACAACAATTTACTTAAACAGCAACTTGAAATAAAACTTTAGTGCGGATTTGACTAAATTTAAATTATAATTAAAATTAATGAAAACGCAAAAGTTCGCGACGAGGATTTGCGACATGTGCGAACGGACGAATAAACCTTAAATTGGAATGACAGCCAAGGCTGGTTGGGGGCAACGAGGCAGGAGTGGCACCGAAGGGCTATTGTCTGTGGAACGTGTGCGCTTTTAATTTGATTTCGTCTGCAAATTTGCATGTCGTCTGCCAGTGAAGTGAAGCGAAGTGTGTGTGTGTGTGTGTGTGTGTGTGTGGCAAGACAAAGCGCCAGCCTCCGCCTGTCTGTCTGGTTGCCATTTTAACTCTCAGTTACCCAGCCGGGCCCGTTTGCAGTGCTCTCGTTCTGTGTTGTGTGTGTAATTCAAACCCTTTTGCCAATTTGCGCCACTTGGGCATTAAAACCGCGATTAATAGCCACAGAGGGTAGTTAAAAACTCCATGCAGGCGGGCGGGTTGGCGCAGGGTGTCGGGTTTTGGTTGCCGTTGCCGTTGCCGTTGCCGTTGCTGCCTCGCATTCGCAAACGTGTCATTTGAAATATTCTGTAGCAGGGGAGCGGGAGCGGGGAAAAGAAAATACGCCACGAAACGTGCCGATAACACGGTGTCGCACATTTACCCCGCCCACTGCCAGCGACACGCCCTCGAGAGGCGTGAGTGTGAGCAGAACAGAGCGAGATGGAAAACACCAAATGTAAATACACACAAGAAAAAAAACAACAAAATAAAAAAAATACAAAACAAAAAAAATGAAAACAAGAAAACAACAGAAAATCGGAAATTAAACAAAACCGAAACGAAATGGAATTCGCTTATCGCGCCTCATAAATTAACCCTTGCAGCGTCCGACGGACGGACGGACAGATGGACGGACACGGGACACCAAATTTCAGCTCTCTCCTCACGCGGCCCACCACAGCAAGCCAGACAGCTAGGAAAATACACGGATTGACGCCGAGAGACTGACTGAAGACCCAACTAGGCGTTAAGTGGTTGCTCCAGTCCACAGGCCGTGGCCTGCAACGGAGTTTATCTGCGTCGGCCAGGCCCGACCAGGCCCGACGCAGTTACAAATACAGATGCATATATACACTCAGCGGAAAAGAATTGCCCTGAACTTTAGAGGTTCTCCATATTATTGTCGCCAAGGGTGACTCAGCTTATTGTTCAAAAGATATATTTGTAAAACAGACTTAATATACTTAAATTCAGAATTCGTTTGTTTTTTAAATATTGAAAAAATATGTCTGATTTTCAGTGACTGTTTTTATATACATGAACAGACAGAACTCTAATATTAGATTTTCGGCTGCTTATATTATTAATAAACATTAGTATTTTTAGAATTCAGAAATAAAAACATTTCAGATAGTTTATATATTCATATTATTTAATTTGAAGTAAGCTTACTATTTTCTTAATTTAAGAAACCTTTTGCATTGCTACCTTTTAGAAATATTTTCAATTATTATATATAATTAAATTTATGAAAAATTGAAAACAAGGCTTTTTAATTTTAATAAATTTGAAGAAGAACTTTCTAGTTTTTAGTCCGAATTTACAATTTTAGTGTTTATCTATAATTCAGGGTGATTTTTTCCGAGTGCAGTGTAGAGATAGATCCGCTAGTGCTGGATCAAAAAAAAACACATTGTAATTGAAATTGAGAGGAGCGCATTGTGCTACTGATTTGGATGATTTGACAACGAATAGAACTTAAGTTCAAACTAAATATGGAACAGTGACTGTTGTCAATTTAATTCAGTGCCGCCTTATTGTGACCCTAAATCCCCAACGCGATCACTTATCATGAGTTACGATTATGGCATGTTAAATTAATAAAAAATAATGAATATTATTGTTTAGCACGCGATTAATGCTATCTCAATGAAGGTGAAAAGCCAAGTGAAGCGTTCAGACTGTCTACAGATAGAGCAGGTTTCAGATCATCAGCACCCCCTCACTATATATATGTATATATGTATATACGCCTACTGACTGATAGATCTGTATATAGTATTTATGAAATGCTTGTTTTGTATTACATATTGATTATGCTTGGCATGAAACGATTCAATAAGAAATACATGACATAAAAACTGAAATAATGTTGACATATAAAGTCCACAAAACATCTTCTAATTTCATAATATACAAGATTAATTATAGCATTTTATCTTTTGGTATATATAAAAATTAAAATAGTAGTGGGAATGAAAAATGTGATTTTCTGAAATGATATATTAAAATATATATATATTAATAATTAAAATGTGCCACTTAATTGAAAATGAGAAAAAATGGCCAATTATAAATACGAGCGGTATTTCAATGAATCAAATACCTTCTTTACTCAACGGTAAAATAGCCCATTGTAATAACCATAAGTAATTAAGGCCAAGAGCACAGCAGTAGTCAACAAACAGGCAATAAAAAAAAAACATATGTGGGCAAATTGAAGAGAATCGAGTTAATTACTTGTCAAACAACGACTGTTAGTGTTGTAAACTGCGCAAATGACTTTACCTACACTCCAACTCCAACAGCACCCACATTGATTTATTTACAGAGCAAACAAACGACTCAGCTGACCAGCGCCGAGGGACGGGTGGGGCAATGGGGCAGGGTTAGCCAACTCTCGAATATCAAACGATCTGTGAAGCGAAATGCAACCACACAGCACGTACACAAAACCACCAAGGGCTTTGGCCGCCACTTCTTCCCCAATGCCCCCGCGCCAGAGCCGACTCCGATTTCCACGCAGTCCCCTCTAAATCCGTCAGACTGCCTGGGCCACGGATGGGTTTGGAGCAGCACCAATAAAAAGTTCCGCAATTACATGCCACAGCCAAGAGCTTGTCTTGAATGAGCTAATTGAGACCGGTTGGAAAATCGTTTTCAACTACTGTTCACTTATGCTGCCAAATGCTCATGCAATTCCAATTAATGGCACCACCAGGATATGTGGAAAGCGCATTTCTCGTTGCATAATAGTCATATTTTATATGCTAGTTAAATATGGCTTGCACATGGCAATCTTCTCTACGATAAATATTAAAATAAGATACCGTCAAGAGGAAAATCATAAAAAACGATTGATTTATTGTGCACATAATTGTGCAGTTAATATGTTCTCAAATTCGATTTGGTCTACAAAGCAGCTTTGCTGTGTTAACTAATTGGAGTAATCGAGGCAACAAAATTGTTACGTGACGCACATAAACCGAATTGAATTGCAAAGGCAGTCATTAATCTTTTTATGACTCCCATTGTGTACGATCGTGAGTGGCTGCTACTCGTGTTTCTTGATGGCTGTTCCGATGCTCTGATGTTCTGATGCTCTTCAGTCGTAGGTTACTTAATGTTTATGGTCATTATCGATGAACTAAGTAATTAAGACAAATTGCAAATCGACCACCACCTGGCCGCATGGCCATGGCCGTCGAGATGCCCATTTGAGAACAATCGGGCATCAAAATCGGGCATATTATGCTGTGATCATTGCTGTCCTCGGAGCGGGCTCAGAACCGTAACGTTGCGGTAGTCAGAGTCACCATCGTTGTGCGTGGCGCAAAACCGTCCGTAAAATCGTAAATAGATCATAAAACGCTCGTAAAATCAATTTAACGACGGCAACAGCAACGTGGCCGTAAATCGGCCACGATCGGGGCTGACAATCGAATTGATCAATCGAAATGAGCTTGGTTTTGCTCGAATTGTGTTGAGCTGTGCTGGGTTGAGCTGAATTGAATTACACTCTCTATTATGGTTTACAATTTGGCGCCTCGAATTGGGCGATTTGGTTACGTGCTTTTATTGTTATGGGCAGCACACAGATTGCGCAGACTGTTTTTGGGGGGCCTGGGTTGCGACTCGACTTCATTTTAATAAGCAGAGAGCGCCGTGCAGTCTATCAACGTGATTTACGATCTTGCCCGACACTTGACTCGCATGCCATATTCGCTTCAAATACATATATTTTTAGAGTGTAGTACATGCAGCTACTTTCACAGTTGCACGGATCTACGATCAAACTGGAAAAAGGCATCGGCTGCCAGTTGCCGGATGTGTCTATTGTCGTGCGTGAAAGATGCCTGCACGGAAAATGACTTCAATAAACAAACGATCGCACCAGGCATTCAATGTGGACTCAAAAGACTGAGCGCAGGATTTATGATAGGTCGCCATAAAGTCACTGGCGAAGTCAGCAGGAGCGAGCCTTGTGACGAATGCAGCGAGAAGGGTTCAGCTGCTCAGCACGCAGCAGGTATGGATTCTTCAAGGACATTTCGGAGTAAAAAAAAAGAAAACGTTTTGGAAAAGGATAGACGCGGCTGATTCTTTCCATACTCATAATTCATATTTATGCGGATAACCCATTGGCCAATGGCCAATGCCATTCGACTCATTTTTTCAAGGGTTTTTGGTTAACTAGCGGTACTTACCATTAAAATCGCCACAAACGACACGCTCAAAGGGACTTCCCATCCAATCTGCAAAAGAAGTAGAAGTATTTTTTAGTTGTAATGACATTATGAACTGAGCGACGGTTTAATATGTATGGAACGGTTTGTTTAGCCTTGAGCTTTATGCTTGACATTTAACTACACATGGCAGTTGCCTCTTTCTTTGCTTATCGACATGACCTCACTAATTATCTGCCACATTTTTTAAAGAGTTTCTTTTTTACCGCAGCATGCAACTCATTCAAAACATCTTAAGCTCAGTTGTCACTGCTATGCGAAAAAAGCATACACTCAGAAAAAATATCGGCCTGAAATTTATAAATATTTTCATGCTTTAATAAACCATTTCTAAATATTAGAAAACATTTTTCTTGAAACTAGAGAGGTTTGCCCTAAATCGAGAATCCCAAAATTGTGTTGTAGTTTTGCTATTTATTAGAAGTATTTTTCATTATTAAGAAATGCATTAACAATTAGCTTCTATCACTAAGCAGTTGTTGTCTGCTTAGTTCTGCTATCCAATTCAAGAGAAGTTAGAAATCATTCACCCGTAAAATCGTAACATTAATTAAATTAAATCAGATGCATTTTTATAAACTATGTCAAACACTGAAGTTAATTAATGCAGATTTACTTTCTGAATAATAAGGGGAGGAAAATTTGGCTCGAAATTGTATAGCGAATTTGTAAAATTGGGTTTCTTTTTTTTCCTGAGTGTAGCAACTGCAGTTCCAATTCGAAGGTTTTAGACCACCAACAAAGTAAAGTGGCCAGTGACCAGTGTGAAGTTGGAGCGGCTCCAACCAATGTGGACGACGCCGTCGTCGACAACGTGACGCCTAATTAATAAGCAGATGAAGCTGCTCGGCTTTTAGCCCGGCGCGTTTTTAATTAAAATACACAAATTTGTGTGCAGTTGCCCTGTCCGCTGTTGGCATTTTATGGGACACACAGACAATCTCTAATATGAATGAACAAATTCGCCAGAGAGAGAAGAGTCGCTGCTAGTGTTCGCCACGAATGGAGTAGGGTATGCATGATTTTGTCTCATTGATAATAGCAGCCTTGTTTTTTTTAACAAGTAACCAGTTCTTCTACACGCATTCTCTTGCTCTCTTCAGCGTTCTCAACATCAATTTCCTTTGCTCTGCGCTTGCTAATTCAAATTTTTACGAGTCTGCTGCTTGCCTCGCTTTTCCAGATAATTACGAAAAGTTAACGTGCTGCTTTCTTATCAGCATAATCAGGAACTGCAGTCTCAGCGCGATGCATCTCCTGCTCCCTAACCAAGTGCATAGCACAACTTTGTTGTTGTTGTTGTTATTGTTGTTGTTGTTGTCTGGCTGGTGCAACGATGTGAAAATGAAAATTCATTCAGACGCTTTGGCGTAAAATATTAAAATTCATTAGTTAAATTGCATTTGGCAAGCATTCAGCTGTAAAGCGGTGCCATGCTCGCTGCTGCGTCCGGGTCTGTCTGTAGACGCGCGGAGAGCGAAATACAAATTGAAACAGACAGAGAGAGAGAGAGAGAGACAAAGTGAGACAAAGTCCGAGAGAGACAGATAGAGAGAGACAGAGGTAGAGAGACAGAGAGAGAGAGGGGCAAAGCTCAATGGCTGCAGTGTGTGTGACATATTTGGGGCCTGGAATCGGCTTTGGGGCAAGAATGAGAAGGTTGTCCATGTCTTGGCATCGATTCTGGCTAACCCACACACACACACATGCATATATATATATGTGTGACTAACTCTCTCTCTCTCTCTCTCTCTAGCAACTACAAATGCATTGTTGTATACTGTGCGAGTGGTAATATGTTGTGTGTGTGTCCGTGTTATGTGTGTGTGTGTGTGTGTTGTGCTGTGCTCCGGCGACGTGTCGCGCACTTGGCTGCCTTAATGGCGTCATGCTCATATTTACTTTCATCGCAGCCAGTCGTCTATGATCTCGCTGACAATTTTATCGCTGTGGTGCTGCGAGCGAGAGATATGCAAAATATTTCATTGTGCAAAATACCGTTTGTCTTCAGGCAGCAGCAAGTCATGCGGCTTTTCAAATATTATTTACCAAAATTGCACAAAGAATTTAAGATATCGAATCTATAACTTGTATACCTTATCACATGAATAAGGCAAATCTCTTGAACCAACTTTATGTATTTGGTGTTTAATAGACTCGCAATCTAGCTCCCGTTGCAGAGAACTCCTGACAGAAAATCATGGCAAAGAATTATTTTATTTGTGTATCCAATGTTTTCAAGCTATTTGCTCGGATGTGGCTACCTTATAACTGTGGGGAGATATTCTGCGCCAAAGAGTCTAGGTATTAATCCAACTGAAAATCGAAAATTGTTCCAAAACTGGCGGTTATCACACACCATTATTATACCATATTCTGTAATTTTTATTCGAAACTTATTGCAGGCACAAATTTAAACAGAATGTGTACAGATTCGAAAAAATAATAGCATCACTACGATATTATTTCTTTCCATTTAATTTTAAAATATTTTAAATGTTGATACTAAGTAATTTATAAAATATTTTAAATAAAAATAAATATAATTTTAATTCAATTTAAGTGAGTCGAATAATGTGAATAAAACTATGTTTTTTTTCTTTCTAATTTTTTAGAATATTTCTCCTCTTTATAAGTTCCGTAAACTGGCAAATTTACAAAAAAAAATCCTGTGGGAGTCCAAAGAATGAATCATTTTGGTTTTCAACATTGTTTAAGTTAATTAATTTGGTTAGCTTTAACTTTTTAACTAGTTATAAGGCATCCACAGAATTGTAAAAAATAAGGATAACCATATATAACACAATAATTAAGTACATTTTTTTGCGAATTAAAAGGAATTTGGGTATTTTTTTTCCATTGTCAAAGCACTTCTATGACAAAGTGTAACTCTTTGCAATAGTTTTTGTAAGTGCAGTTCTCGGTATATAAATTAATTGATATATATGATAATGAAGACAATGAAAGCAAATCTCTCTTTGGCTATTGATTGTTGGAAATAATCTGATAATCTGCATGAGAATACGCTCCAAGGAGAGCAGAACGCTCCCATATTTCCCATATATTTCTCATATTTTACTTATAAATTTGAATTTATTCATTCACTTAACAAACCATGTGTGTAGTTCAATGTATTCAATTTTAAATATAGACAAAATAATTTAAATTTTATCCTACAGGCGAAGAGGCATTGACCTTTTCGGGATTGTGACCAAAGCTTTGGGGGCCAAGCTATTAAAGTTAAACACATAAGTTACTATCGCAGTTGAGTGGGTGTTTTTTTTTCGAAAACTAAACTTCAAAATCTTTTTGAGCAACAACTATTTGACTTCCGTTAAAATGTAAGCTTTAGTCATTAGACAGACAGTGGAAACTATTTTATTTATACAATTAAAATACTCAAAAAGGTTGAAAGCTATTATGAGGATTATTATTATTATCAGATGTACCATCAGCCAGATCATTAAGTATTTAAGCAGACGGACAATGAATGCTCTACGATTTCTTTGTGCCTCGTACACATGGCGATTGATGGGTTGTTCGTAATTCAAACTAATTGGCAATTCATTCATATTTTGATTGCCATAACTCTCGAGGCATTCACCGCAGTCGGTGAAAATGAATCGAGGCAGATAAAAAAAAAGCGAAAAGTCAAAACACTCTATGAGTATTATAAAGAAAATTGTGCTGATGCTAATAGGGTGTACTAAATAAATAAATCAGCTGTGCAAAAATGCGATGCAAATCGAGGTTCTCGTAAATTAAACTGACCCACATAAAATGCGCGCGAATATTGTACTACGCTTAACGCATAACAAGAAATCAACAGCACCAACATTGAACATTGAAAAAAAAAACAAAAAACAAAACAACAGCAGCAACAACAATTGAAAAGCCAGTGTTTCGAATGGCAGCAAAAACAATATGTATCTGTATCTTTTGCCGAGTATCCGACACTGAGTGATTGCGCGTTTTGTATGCGCGGGGGTACATCTAAGCATGTGTATGTTGTTCATCTCTTTATAGTGAAGTGTATGCGTGTGTGTGTGTGTGTGTGTGTGTGTGTGTGTGGTATGTGTGATTGTTTAAGTGTGTGTGTTTGTACGGCAACCTTGAAGTTATTTAAATTACAAATCGACGAACCGCTTCAACGAAAAAACAGCACATTTTTTAACCATTTTCATTTTTATACTCTTGCAGGGGCATTATAATTTTGTCACGATATGTGTTACGTATGTAAAAGAGACATATATATACATATATATATTTATAAATTTATTTTTGATAACACCACTAGCCAAGTCGATATAACCATGTCCGCCTGTCCGTCTTTCTTTCTGCTTCTAGGCAAATTAAACCCCAGTTTTTAAGCATTATTCTTAAAACTTTATCTAAATCTATCTAATTTGTGCAGGTAAAACATTTGTAAAAATAAGATCGATATATATCTTACATATGATTTTTGTAATTATACTTTATGAGAAATATAAACAAAATAAGCGTACTAAATCTCACATAAGAATTAAGAGAAAATGTTCTTGAGCAAAACCGTTTTAAATTCGAATTATTTAAATTAATAATTTTTTTTCTTTTATTTATTACTTTAATGTAAAATAAAAACAGTCCACAAATTATAAAAAAAAGTTAAAGAAATAATATACAAAGAAATAAAAATAAATTTATAATTTAGACTAAAGAATTGCAACTAATAAATAGAGGACATAATAAGTGATTTATTTCCATTTTAAATTTTAATTTAATGGTGTATTATTTAATTTTTTTTTGTTAAATTTGTGTTTATATTTTTTTTAAGTTTGTGGAATTTAAATAATTAAAAAATACTCAACTTTTAAATAAAAATAAAAATAAATAACTTTGAATAAACTTTCGAGTGTTTTTCTTTAAATAAATAATAATTAAAAAATATTAAAAAGTCTAGTCGAAGAGTATAAATTATTCGGTGTGCCGAATAGCTGTTCTTCTTAGCTTTTTATTTACTGCCGCCACTTTTTAGCTATCTGCTCGTCGGTTTGTGAGCTTCAGCGGCATTCCGCTCGTCCGCTCCTCGTCGTCGAAAAAAATAATGTTGTAGTTCTTATTTAGCGGAAGACTTATGCGAATCAAACGACTTGGAAATGCCCCACAAAGTGTTCATTATGAATTTGGAATTGGCCCAGAACGAGCGCGTTTATCTATTGTTTATACGCCTCAATGGCCATAAAGGTATAAATTAAATTGCCGGCCAAAAGAGGCAATTGTTGTTCCCTCCCTCCCTCCCTCCCTCCCTCTTCCCATCCACGCACCCATTGAGCGGCACTGATTTATGCACAATTTAATCGAAATTTTTATGTGGCCGTTTCAGTACGAAATAAGTTGGATTTTGATGGGTGAATCCAATCCTCAACTGACTCAGTGACTCACCTGTGAGTGTCATCCAGGGATAGCGCGGCAGATCCGCAATGCTCTGTCCTGCGCCACCAGCTCCAGGCACCCCAGAGGTGGGCTGTGTGCAGGCGTTGCCCAGCGAGTCGACGCCAATGGCTCCTGCGCTGGCCGCGGATACCGCTGAGGCGGCCGCTGCATGCTGATAGAACTGGGCGAAGCTCGCGGATGCCGAGGCAGGTACGCTCATCGACTGGTAACTGTTCATCATGCTGTCTGTATACCTGCTGGTAAATCGAAAACAAACCATAAACTATTAGCATATTCGAGTGTGAGTTGCAATATGTGTGTGTGTGTGTGTGTGTGTGTGAGAGTGTGTGCCGACTTAAAAATCACCAGCCTAATGCTAATGAGCCACACACATTGGGCGAAACCTGCGCCCTGCCACAATGCCCACTTAAAGTGTGGTTGCATCTAATTGCGCTCTAATTTTGTACACGTTACGGCCGCGGCGTGAGTCCAGCTCTCAATTGACCCCGGCCATATGCAAATGGCCTCAGCGGAAGGTCAATGTGCGTGCGAATCTTGTGGCCGGCAACAGAGTGGCACCAAAATAGTTAGCAGGCAGCAGGCAGCAGGCAGCTGGCAAAACCGCAGCGCTACTCTAATTTGCCCAGCGGCCATTTGAGCACAGTTGCTCTTAATGGCTGCAAAATGATTGGTCAATGGACGACTCGATTATCGAGTAGAGTACGTGGGAAATGGATTTGTGGTTAGCCCAAAACGAATTATGTCTATAAACACATATTTATTTTGTAGATCTCATTTTGTTATTTATTTTATATTTGTGATTACGTTTTATGTATATACAATATGATTAATATCATATGATTGAGGATATATATATGACTGATCTATTTACAATTAAGCTCAACTAAAAGAAGTTATTAAATAAAATATATTGCGAATTTACTTTGATTTGACTAGAAGAAAATATTGTAAAAGGCACTTTGTGTTATCTATACAACTATACAAAAAAATCCTTTTTTTCTGACTAGCTGTACTCATAGAAAATCGCCCTAAATTGTAGTAAATCTCTATACTTTTGAAGACTAATAATATTCAGAAAGTAAAAAGTTAAATTGATGGTTGTGGCTCGTTGAAAACTGGTGTTTTTCTTTCTAAATTTTGGGGTGGATTTTTCTAAATTTTAGTGTGTACACTGAATATATCTTCGACTAGTTTTTTTGTAACTCATACTATTTTAAAACCCTTAGTATATTTAGACTCCACATATGCACAAACATTTTACATAATTTATAAAATTTACTTAACTTACGATTTCATTTCCGCGACTTTAAGAACTTTTTGTTAATAACAGAAAATATTTATAAAGATATAAAAAATCGTGATATTTTTAGGATTGTCGATTTAGTGCAAGTCGTTCTAAATTGTAGATATTTTTTCTTTCAATTTAGAAATCATTTTTTCCAAAAACAAGAAAAATTTTATATTTCTTAGGGCGATTTCTGAGTGTGTGATTATTCTTTTGAGGTTTCTTTTAGGAACTAAGCAGTCAGATGAGGTTGTGAAAGATTTGACCATTGTTCTAGGAGACTATTTTTATTTCAGTTTGTAAACTTATATTCTAAGATATGTTTCGGTTTCATCTTGTACAGCTATTTTTATATATACAAGGAGTCTGGGTTGCTTTAGCGTGAATCCAAATTTGATTTTATCGATTCGTTGAAATTTCTAAGAAAATATAAAAATTGACGGATATATTCCGAATTTGAAACTGAAAGACTATATAGCATAAGAAATGAGCTATTAATGCTGCTTTGGCACATATATATATACTTTATCGATAAATTGATATTCAGGCTGTGTGCTTTTAAGTGTTGAGCAGCGTAATTTGCTTGCACTCACCTGCAGGATTTATCTTCTAGGCCTGAGAAGCCCGGCATGCCGGAGAGGCCACCATGGCTGGTGGGATGATTTGACACGTAAGGATACATCTTGCTGGTGGGTATGGCGAACGAGGAGCTGGCCGCTGGTGAGGGCGAGGAGCTGCTGTCCCCGGTCTGCGAGTTGCCCGCCGACGGAGGCGTCAGCAGCAACTGCTGGTGGGCGTGGCTCAGCGACTGATGGCCACCAAGCCCGGACACGCTGCCCTGTGAGCTGACCGCTGCGGCAGCGGCGGCTAACTTGTTGATGTGCTGCTGCTGCTGCAGCTGCAGAGCGGCCGAGAGGGACGAGTACTGCGACTGCTGTTGTTGTTGTTGCTGTTGCTGCTGCTGCTGTTGTTGCTGTTGTTGTTGTTGCTGTTGTTGCGCAGTCGAGGAGGGCGACGAAGAGGACACGGGCGAGTTGGAGGACTGGCTGAGATGATGATGGCCAAGCTGGAGGCCACTGGAGCTGGGCGACAGCGAGGCGCTGATGTGGCTGCTGCTGGTACTGCTTCCTGGATGGATGCCAGGCGTCGACGCTGAGACTGTTGTGGCTGAGACGGCTGCAGCGGCTAGGGCGGCGGCAACTGCTGCTGATGACGAATTGGGGGGTGTTGTGGTTAAGTGCGAACTTATAAATGGCTGAAACTGTGGGTACTTTGGCAGCATACTATCGAAAACAAATTTTGACATTGCACATATCTTTCTTCTCTGGCCGAGAATTGCCGAATTGCGTCGGAGTCGATTTTGTTATTGTTTTAGTACATTTGGTTGATGTGGTCGATGTTGTTGTTAATCTTTTGGTTTGCAGCTCTTTTATCTGAATTGATAGGTACATATACATATATATTATATATATATAGCTTGATGTATGTGTGTTTGTGTGTGGATGTGCTCGTTAACAAATTTGGTTCGATTTCAGCCAATTTATTGACCAATACTCTTTCAGTAATGCCAAATGACTTGTAGATTTTACTATTTTTATGGGAAGCTACTTCTTGAAACAGGACAGCAATAGTATCCTTATGGCAATCATTACGGGGTAGAGCGAGAGAGAAATACAATTCAAAAACTCAAATCGAACACATTTGCTTTCTCTCTCACTCCAATCTCTGCCTGGAACCCAGTAGATATGCCGCCGATTTGAATGGGTGGAGCATTTGAAAATGAACGATTCCCGAAAGAAACCTCGCTAACAGGAATATTATGACTATCTAATCGGAATATGATAAGAAGAGTGCAACATTTATAACCCACTTTATACTTAGGCACATTGGACATACAGTATTCAACAAAAAGAAGCCGCAATTCTTAAATCAAAGATCGGAACATTTTTTGGGGCACTCAACTAAGTAGAATGATTAAATGTAAATACATGCATACCACGAAATGATGTATAGGTATTTACAGACACACATATCTAGACTCTACAGTCCACAAAGTGAACTTCTATAGAAAGAAGATTTTACTATTAAGAACTGATTTGACTTCTGATTTGTCACAACGAAGTTGCATTTCCGTGTATTGAAGTTTGTGTATATATTGAAGCATATTTACTTCCATAATGTAATATTCAATGCAATGAAGATTTTACGATTAAGAATTGATTTGGCTTCTGATTTTTCACAACGAAGTAGCATTTTTGTATGTTGAAGTTTTTACATCATTTAGTACATTTCCGCAACCATAGCGAAGTTGGACTGTTTACATTATATGCGGTAATCTCACGTGGACAATCAGTTTCCCCATTCAATATTTCCTGTTTTAATCAGTTGTATAAGCTGCTAAATACTTTAATTTCGTTAAAAAATACAACTTAATTAACAAAACTTAAGTCCAACAAATAAAATCATAAATCACAGACGTAAACATGAGTGGCAGATAAGCTCTGTGAAAATGGGGGAATATTCTTAAAAAAAAGACACACATAAAAAACACATAAACTAAATTGCATCAGATGCGAAATAAATCTTATTTTCAACTTATAAAAATCCTATGTCTGCTTGACCATGTCAAAAAAAAACTGTTCTGATATGTTGCTTCCTAAAAATTGGTTTGCACAATGCCAAAGGGTTAGTAGACTCTACATTGGATAATTGGACAGAGTTATTGGAGAATTACTATAGAGTATAGAGGAAGGGAGTTAATAATAATAGGATAGATATCAAGTCTATGTTAAAAAGATGCTCGAAGAGTTAGCTTGCCAATAGTCAGCGTGTACCAATTTCAATTAACCCGAATTTGTTTGAGCATTTCGATAATTAAATGAGGGAAATTGTAAAGTTGTGTTTTACCTTTCGATTAGCGGCTCTCAGCTTGTGCTTTGGCTAACATGAAAATGTGTAGTTGTAGCAGAGTGTGCAACCCGCGTTTCTGTTGAAAATGTTGCACAATGTGAATTCGCAACGAAATTTGTTAAATTTTGCACATGTATTCAGATGCACTTGCAGCTGTTCCTCCTCTTGTTGAGTGTGTGTATGTGTGTGTGTTGAGTGTGTGTTGAGTGTGCGACGTTTATTTGTTGTAAAAGTAATTAAACTGCGGCCATCAATTACACGGAAAATGTTTGAGGCGAGGTCTGTCTGCCGTCGCTTGATTTATAGGCGCGCGATTTTTAATGGCTGCGACGGCACTTGGCACTTGGCACTTGGCACTTGGCACTTGGCACTTGGCACTTGGCACTTGGCACTTGTCTCAAGATTCGAGATTCGACGGATCGGGTCAACTGGGGCGATATATTTTTATGGCATTCGAATTTCTTGCTTGGTGATTCACACACAGTCCACGCTTTCACAGTGTAGGTGTTGCTGCTAGAAAGTCCCGACGCGTTTGGTTTTTTTCTTTCTTTCTATATTTTTTACGACCTTTCGAGTGCGTGTGGCAAGAAGATATGTCGCCGGATAGCTGCAGGGGAATTGGCTTTAATTACTTGGTTTTAAATGCCATAAAATAACTTTTTTCCGGGCTCGCACAGGTAGGTGAAAAACTATCGAGCTGTGCGTCAGCTTTATGACTTTTTAATATTTATGTATGCGCACGCAGCACTTATTGTTGGACAATTTTGTATTTGTTTTTGTTTGTGGTTTTGGTTTGTTCACGCACTGATTTGCGATTAACGATCGCCGATAACTGATTACGGCAGTTTAAGTGTGTAGTTTTGCTTGTTGATTGACCGTTAATTCGCTTGACAGTGTGTATTATGTACTTATTCGCATTTGTTTGCTTTTTGTTTCGCCGTTTTTTGTTTCGTTTTGATTCGTTTTGTTTTGTTTTGTTTTGCGGGTGCTGCTGCCGGTGAGTTTTACGCGAGCTTCGTGCCACTATAAACCACACTATAAAGCCATAAGTAGCAACAGTAAAACGACAATAAGAATGCCACAAAATAATAAACACACTGCGAATGCGAATGCGAATGCGAGCGCGGGGCGAGTCCAATCGAATCGAATCGGATCGAATCGAATCGGATCGAATCGAGTCGGATCGGAGATCGGCCAAGTCAAGCCAAGCCAAGTCGAGCTGCGCTAAGCTGCGATGAGCTGAGCTGAGCTGAACTGAGCGGAGCCGAGCTGAGCTGAGCTGAGCAGAGCTGAGTTGAATTGAGTTGAGTTTTGGGCGGCGAGCGCTGTTCCGCAGACACTACTGCGCGCAACGATAATAAATATTATAATAAAACGAAATTTTTAAAAGAGTATAAAAATTTCGTGTAATTGGTAATTTTTGCTGCCGACGCTGGCATCGGCGTAAGCAGCGCAGCACTGCGGCGACGTTGCGACGACGTTGTGGAGAGTTTTGGGTTTGGGTTTGAGTTTCTCTGTCTGTCCGTCTCTCCGTCTCTCCGTCCGTCCGCCTGCCTGCCTGTCTGTCTGTCTGTCTGTTTTGTCCGTCTACGTATGTAGTACATACGTCTGACTGGGGGGCTCTCTCTGCCACCGCTGGATCGCTGTCTCCGCTGTCTCCGCTGTCTCGATGCCGGGTACGAGTGGGTGAGGAATTTTTGGTGCTGGCTGGCTGGCTGGCGTATTGGCTGGCGTACTGGCTGGCGTACTGGCGCTGTGTCCGCGTCGGCCGTTGTGGCGTTACGAGCAGCGAAACGTTTATGGCGCAATACAAAAGCCATGCGAGGCTAAGGCCGCAGCTTTGGCCATGCAGAGACAGTGTCGCCGTCGCCGTCGTCGTCGTCGCCCAGTCAGCAGCAATTCATTTCAAGCGCTGCGCTTAGTCTCTCACACACACACACACACACACACACATACACACACAGAAACGTAGAGCACTCACACACACAGGCACACGCGCATAACACGCAAATATGCAGTCAAAATAGTCTCATGTCTCTCAGTCGACGCTGGCGGCGCTGCGATGGCAATAAGAAACACGGATCTCATAGATCTGTTTGTCTCGCTCGCACTCGGCGATTCGCAATAAAACGTTAACAGCAGCAGTTGCCATTGCTTGTTTGAGTTCGTGTGCGTTCGCCTCTTCGTTCGCGCGTGTGTGTGAGTGTGTTTGTGTGTGTGTGTGTGTGTGTGTGTGAGGCATGATGGCCGTTCACAGTTCGAGTCGGAGACAATGGCAACAACTGAGCGCAATGCCAAATTGAGTGCAAGAGCGAGTTTGAGTGCATTTTGTGTCGAGTCGTTTTGTGTGGGATTTTCTTATATGATTTCTGGTTTTTTAGAGCGCACCCAATGGATGCTTAATTTTGATGTTTATAACGTGAGAATGCGAATGCGTATGCGCCAAGCATCCACACACACACACACAAGCACACACACACTAGCCGCCACACACAGCCACAACAACAACAGCAACAGCAACTGATGAGCGAAACTATCGTTTGTAGTGCAAGTGCTTAAGCTATGAGCGACAGAGTGAGAGCGAGCGAGAGAGAGAGAGAGAGAGTGGGTGAGTGAGTGAGTGAGAGAGGGAGAGTGAGCGAGTGAGCGAGTGAAATGCCTTCTTAAATGTTTTATGCTTTGTTTGGCAAAATGTTATTGTTGCTTAAATTATTTTGTATTATTCATGTTGTTTATACCAATTTCTTATGCACGTTGCGCGCCACATGCGACAAAAGCGCGCCAAAAAATGCGGTAAAAACATTGTTTGTCGGATTGTTTCTTATTTACATGCACGCATTTTTTTTTATGTACATTTCACATTGCGCTGCGTTTTCTAATAAAAATTAGTGCAAAATTTAGTCACTACAAATTTTTATTGTCATTTTTTATTGTACGCATAAAAAATTCGCAAGTCTACAGAGCTCTCGCCCTCGCTCGCTCTCTCCTATCGCTCTCTCTCTCTCTCTTTGTCTGTCGCTTTCGCTCTCGCTCACGCTCACCCTCAAGCGAACCAGTCTTTGTATGTTGTTTTACCCTTAAGCGAAAGTACGAAAAATCCATAAATTTGGGAGATGAAAAACGCCGACACAGTCAAACTTAGTTGTTGTAGTTGTCGTTGTCGTGTTGCTGATGTTGTTGCTGTTGTTTCTGTATTCTGCCATTGTCGCTGAAATTGCTGTTATGACATTTTTATGAAAAATTTCAAATTTACGATTGAACACGAAGAAGACATTTCTCTCTGGGAATTTTTTTGCTAGCTTGAAATGTATTGGGAAATGCAACGAATTCGCATATTCTCAACTAGACACTTTTTGTACTTAGACGTAATCGAATCTTAATGCGTTTTGTTGGCAAACTACTCAGTTTCAAGCGCCACAAACCAATGTTATTCTAATTTTTTTATGCCACACTTTTCAAACTCTTTCCAAATGACTAAGCATAGATTGAAATATTTTTAGAATAATATTTAAATTAAAAAATAAGAAAATTTCTATAGGATTTCCGGGGGTATTTAAATGACAACTTGGTCTAATTTCTCTTCTGGCAAATATTACATTGATAGAATTTTAATATTCTTATCTATATTTTTAACACAAGTTTATAAACTTAAATAATTTCTTTCACATTTTGGGATTTTATTTGAATATACATTTACATTTTAAATACTCAATTTTCACGAGTTAAAATTTCTAATTACATTTATACTTACAAATTTTATACAAATTGCTCAGTCTACATCTTTCTTAGAGCACCCTTTCTATTTTCAAATCTTATTATTCTCATTGTTGCTCTGACATCAAATGCAGGTCAAAAATTATAATTATCAATGTGCGTTGAGTTCCGACCTTATAATCGGTCGAAAGATCCACAAAATGATCGCAGAGCAATAAATAAATAACAATAATATTTCACTTTTGAATAACTATTCCAATGAGCATCGGTCAGCATGCTGAGCAGTTATTTGTGAATGAATTTTCCCCTGTGTGGGGATTAAAAAAACAAAAGCACAACTGTTGTCTAAGACCCACAGACATCTTATCTACATCTATATCTAGCTATAAAACCTTGTATTCAAAATGAATAAGAAGGGAAATATTCTATTATTAATTATTAGCTATAATACATAATTACATATCAATAATGACCTTTATGGTAGACAACTTGGGTGACTCTCAACGTTCATTTTCCATTCCAAGTTTTGAGATTGGCCTCTCTTAGTACTAATTGGCTCTTGTATCTTGTAACTAGATTAAAATATGTCTTGTAGAGTAGCCGAGGAGTAATTTTTTGCGTTTTTTATTCTACTGTTAAATCAAAAAGGAAAGTTTAGTATTCTATTTATATAGACAACGTTATCTGCTATGTTGGTAATGCTTTACAGCTGCTAAGTCTTTGTAATTTTGAGAATTATTATTTAAGGGCATTTCAACTTATATCCTAGTCCGGTACCCCCAACTATATATTTCTGAAAATAAACATTCCACGAGAACAATTCTTTCGACTTTGGCGATGGTATTACAATTATAGAACATGTAACTGATGACATATTCATATTTTGTTTTGTTATTAAAAACCGAGTCAATTTATTTATTTTATTAAATTTATTTATCCTTGCGCTACAAGGCTGAGAATTGTAAATTATTGCGCTAATCACAAACAGCTAAATGTCATTAGGTTAAAAATAAAAGTGAACATAAAAATTTAAATATGCTTAAGTCTAATTAGTCTAACATTAATTGTTAATAATATCAAAAAGTAAATTTAATTTATTTGTTCAGTATTGTCTTTCTTGAGCTGCAAGTAAACTTTATAGCTTTAACACATATTATTTCGTATTTATTGAAATAATTCCTTAGTTGCGCCTGCTATTATGTTATTTGCATTATGGCCTCACTATGCCGTCGCATTGGAATAATCGGTTCGTTTCCAAGATTCATAATTTAACTTCGATAGTGGACTCTGTCCTGCTAGAATATGTAATTCTCAAAGATACCTAATCTCTTTTTCTTGATCTATCATTTACAAGGTTCCCCAAATCCTTAAGGTATTTAAATAAAAAAAACATTCCATAAACATTTTCCGTAGCAATTACATGATGATGTAAGCCTTTCGATCGTTTGATTTCTGGGAACTATTTATTTTATTTATTGATGCAGTTTTATACTGACTCTGTTGCCTTATGAACCGCGTTTTGTTTCAGGCTCTAGTTTCTAAAGATTTTTTATCCCTACTCATATAGTCTGGCGAACAGCAAAAAGTAAAAAAATGTACAAATAAATTTTAATTTTTTAAAGTGTTTATTTATTGATTCAAAATATGAAATGATTTTCAGTAATAATTTAATTTCTAAACATATGATATTAATTAAATTATTGTACTTACATCCTATGTAATTTACAGCCTTCGAATGTTATCAAAATATAATTCCTTTTACAAATAAGTCCTATTTTAAGCTATTATTTTAAATATTTATTTTTGTTTTTGAAATTGTTGAAATTAACGTGGATCGAAGACGTTTACTGGCTAAAGCTATAAATTATACAAACATAAGCAATTAACAGCCATTTTATATATTATATATTAAAGAGAAAAACAAGCAATCAGGAACTATTTTTGAATGTTATATGCTGAAGTATATACAAATGCATATTATTCCTTGCCACTGGCAGCAAGTATTAAAAATGACTTTATTATTATTGCAAATTAAATATATATCGCGACAGTTGGCTGCTGTGTTTATTGGTCAGACGCCACAGACGAGCCACCAGTCGAGCCAAGCGATTGCCTCTTTGAGTGCATTCAGATGGCTCCTGGCGGATGACACCTGCTTACCACTAGAAAGCCAACGGGGCGGGGCGGGGCAGGGCGTGGCGCCTAACGACCGGAAAATGTAAGCCGGCCATTTTGATAATCAAAACAAATAATAAAACAACTTCACACTTTATTGCGGAACAACTGGGCATGCGAACAACAACAACAGCAACAACAACAGCAACAACTACAGCAACAACAACAGCAACAACTACAGCAACAACAACAGCAACAACAACGTCAACTACTCGACTGTGATATGTATGAAAATACAACAGCAACAACAATTTGGAACGTTGTCAGCGGCGGCGGCGGCAGCGGCGGCGCTCGCGAGCATCATTAAAAGATAATAACCGTAATAAACTAATAAAATTGAAACTGGGTGAGAGGAGCAGCACATAATAATAAAAATGAGCAAAATCACAATAAAACACTACTCGAGGACTGCGTCATGCGTCGTCAAACGGGAGGTGTTGCTGGTATCGTAAATTGTGAATGTGTGTATGTATCTGTGTGTGTTTGTGTGTGTGTGTGTGTGCGTGTGTGTGTGTGTGTGTGTGTGTGTGTGGTTTCACGAGTGTGGCTGCAATGTCGTGTATCGTATCTCGTAACCGCTGAAGAAAAGCGGAAGCGCAAATATCGTAAAACGCAAGCAAAACGGCTTCAGCTAAAATGCACTCGACAAGTTGGATCTAAAGAAAATAATAAAAAGTAAAAAATAAAAAAAAGGGAAAACATGCAATGAAAAACGACTCGTAATCGTCCCCTTATTAATGGGTAAAGAGTTCCGCAAATTTATATATAAATACCAATGATATATATACATTATATACAACACACAGAAGGAAATGTTTCAGAATCCACGAAGAGTAAATATGTCGAGCCAACGCCACAATCATTTTAATCTTGCTGCCTTGGATTTATTTTATAATTATGTAAAAATTGCATTAAGTTACATTTCAGAATTATATTTTTGATTAGCAATATCTGCCGATTGGAAAAAGGTCCATTTAACTTCTTCTTTTGCCCGCATTAAATTATTTAATTTTATTTCACTATACTCCTTCAACAAATATAGATTTTACATAACTAATTTTTAGAGCGTTGTGCGAGTTACAAGAGCTAAAACTCAGACTAAAAATCGCCCTGAATTTTTAAAAATCTAAAAAAAGAGAAGGAAAAATAACAAAAACTATATCTTGTTTTTTTTTTTTTATTAATTTCATTATATGATTTTATAAACTATCTAAAATGATTGTATTTGTGAAATTCAAAATACTATTGTTTAATAATTATACGCAATATTTTGTTTCAGAAATATAATTCCCAAGTAAAGAGGTAATTTACCCTTGGGCGTTTTTTTTTAAATTCAGCAGGAGTGTATAGAAACCAAATTGCATTTTTCAAATAGTACACAGGTGTGAAATATTTAACTTGTTAGATACCTCATCCGGAGCAAACCAAAATTGGAAATGCCACTTTCAGCTTGCGTATAATTTTGTGTGTGTTTTTGTATATACTTACAAACATATTATAGTTATTATATTTAATGGATGACTTCATGCACTGCGACTTAGTCAGCTCTATTTTTCTTCCTTCTGAGCCAATAGCTCTTCCATCAACACTTTTTCTATGCCTTCCGGGCTTGAGACATGTTTTCTAAGAATATTACATCTTCTTCTGACTAGAGCGACACAATCTGCTTTGATGTGCTTTGGGCAGATTCCGGTACTGATTATAAGTAGTTCAGTTAGGTAATACATGAAGCTAACTATGAGTAATAGTTGCATTCATAGTAATATGTATCACATATCGAAGCTAGGTGTAATCAGTAGCATGTTGAGCATTATTAACCCGAGTGTTATTACTTGTTGTCATTCATTTAATTTTTATTTTATTTATATTTCATAGACACAAATTTTGTACGCCTTATTTGAACTTATATAGTAATCGTGTGTATGGTACTTTTAAAGCAATGTGAAAATAATCAACGTATTTCTTATTGCGAATATAGACACCACATTTGTGTGTAGCTCACTCTTAAAAAGGAACAGAAAATAATTCAACTCAGACTGCTTTTCGAGGAAGTAACTACGGACAATTGCTTAAACTCATACACACACAGATTGCAAGCACTTAAAATCGATAATATCGGAGTGAAACCGAACCGAACTGAGTGAAACGGATGTTATCTTCGACTCAGTGGCAGCTGAGCCAAAATCTTTGAATCACTCGCGACACAGTTGTAAAAAAAAGAAGGTCGCTTCTGCTTCTGTTGCACATCAAATTCATTCCTTAATTTGATACACTTTTATTGCGCCAGTTTATGGCTTGTTTGGCCCTTGCGGTTCGCCTAACCCCAATCCGGATCGCACCCCGGCTCTGTCTCCGGCTGGCTGACATCGACTCACGGGCTATGTACAAGTCGGCAGCGACGATGAATGTGTTTTTAAGTGATTCAGATGATGATTATAAAATGCCTTGTCACGCAATCATTTTTTAATCCTTCGACGTTGTCACACAAAGCTGTGTTTTATGGCACCGCTCTCCACGCTCACCGCTCACCGCTCCCCGCTCTCGTTCCGCATCTTGCATCCCGCTCACAGCTCCGGGATGGACGTGAACCAGCCCCCGCCCAGGAATGTGGGCTTGTGTGTCACTCAGACCCTGCCTCTGCCTCTGCGTCTGCCTTGGCCTCGGCCGTGCACCTACTCAGTGCATTCCTCAGAACGACTCAATAAAATGTGTACGAGTGGCAGTGGCAAGTGTCTTAACGTCTGGTTTGGGCTTCGCTCGTCCACATTTATTGCATTTTAATTGCACCAATGATGTACCGTTTTGTAAATTACGCAAATGAAAAATATAAATCACAAATCTAATTAAAAGCGGAACAAAACAGTCGTAAAACTCAATACCATGCCGAGTACTCAGCATTCTCACTTACCATGTACAAATATATAATAATGTATTTCAGGCTCAGATGTTCACGTGTATCTGCAAATAGAAAAAGTGTAAAAAATTTGTTTTTTATTACTGATTTCCCACTGCGATCAGCATGCGGTTAAAGAAAATCAATTGCACATATTATGTACTTTTAATTGTTAAAAGACTGCCAGTTTTCCAAAATGAGAAAAATGCTATTAATATATATATTTTTTTTTACAATTATCAAAGCATTTTTTGAATTGATAAATACCATAATTGTAAATAAGTATTGCGCATTGTTGGAGATTATTAACAATTATGTTGTATTTTAAAATTGTTCCATCTCTCTGTATATTTATGCCACAGATTTTAGTTTGCTGTTATTTATCGTTCAGCGTTTTAAATGTTGTACACCAAAAAGACCAAATGAATTTAACGAAGACACTAAAAATATATTTCAAATAGAAGCACATCAATTGTTTAAAGAGTCCAGCTTGCAATGAGTGTGTTTGTTTTCGAGAAGATGCGTGTGTTTTTGTTTATGTACGTACAAAAAGTAAAAAACGAAGGTATGTAGGTGAAGGTCATATTTTCTTACCCATTTTTTATGAGTACAGCGAATTCTACTTTTTTCAGGCAATTTTAAGCCCAAGAGCTGAGTACGATTTATGATAGGTAAATACTTGGCTACAGGGTAACGTGTGTGAGCGTTTCCACAATTTTAAAGGTAAGCTCAAAAATGTAAGAGATGCTGGTTATGGCGGAGGAGGCAGCGTGGGCGGGGTTTTGAATGAGACAGAGCCAGAACTTTAGAGGAAGTTAGCAGTAATCTCAATGCCAAACTTTATGACTCCATTTCAAAAGTTGTAGCAAAGATTTTTATTTATCGATTGACCAGAACCACCACTGGGCCTGCCAGCCCTGTCTTAGCCAGGGCATCAAACCTAATTTTGATTCCGATTTGTTAAGTATAAAAAAACCAAACTTTTTGAATTGACGGTATGATTGGGTAAAAAAAAGTGAGAACGTTTCAGTCGCGCGTAACTAATTGCCGAATTATCTGATATTAGTGTGATGCCAGCCAATTGATCAACCAAATTATCAACATCGGACAAATCTGTCAAATAGATCGGTCGATGTTTTGAATTTTTATTGAAATTGAAAATGAGGTGACCGCAAGGTGGACTGAGGTCTGCAAGGGAATGTTATCTTCTGCGTGCTTATTTGAAACTGGTAAATCTCCACTCTTATTAGATATATATGTTCTTGATCATAAACAGCTGAGTCGATCTAGCCACAATTGTTTTCCGACACGGTCAATTCGGGACAAATAATATCAGTTGCAAAAATTTTGAACTCTGATTCCGATTCTGAAATTCAGTCGCTCAAAATGCGGTTTCTGTTTTAAAATTTTTTTTCTGCTGCAGCCCTTTACAGGTATATATTTCACCCGATTCCTAAATGATAAAGTGGTACAATCCTACCGATTAAAACATGATTACTGCCAGCATTCCAAGTGGAAACAAGGTAATATTGAATTGGCTTAGATAATAACTCATTTAACTTTCCCAATTATATATAGACTTATATGGTCACTAGCTCTAAATTTTCTAAAGTGAATCCGAACTTTCATTGAAGAGGTCGTCTGTCTTTCTGTCTACACGATGAGTGAAAAGACGTTAACATATTTAGCAGCAGTGCGGCGACGAGCGTATTTTATAGTCCTCGGCAGAGATATTAAAATAAGCACACGCCCATTTGGCAAGTGCATATAACGGATGGTTTTGTGGCTCGTGTCTCGTGGCTCGTGGCGGAGGAGGACATGATATACCTGGAGCGGCTTTTCAGTTTTCCCCCTGGTTGGGGAAAATGAGTTTTGGGCAAAGTGCAAGGCAAATCAGCGAAAACTGCTGGGCCTCAGATGTTTGCTGGTTGCTCAAGACGATGTCGATGCCGATGCTGATGCTGATGCTGATGGGCTGACTGCGAGAGGAGATTTCAATATCATAAAAAATCATATTAAGAGAATCTCATATTGGGAATCGTAAAATTTTTACGAGCGTTTAATGGACTCTTGCAGTAAGCGTGAGTATTTACGCGCTGCTTAAAAGCGGTAAAATATGGCCAAGTGGTGTCAGGGGACACGCACACTCCAATTCACGGACTCCGGTCCCTCTCCGGTCTCTAATATGTATAGCAAACATGTTTTTGTGCGGCGCAGCGCAAGATATGCCAGAGCCGTATAAGTCCACCGGAAAACAGTTCTAAATAAATATTATAAACTTTGTATTTTTCCGGGCAAAACACGATTCTTTCAGAATTTGACTCGAGAAATTGTCAATTACATGAAGGTGACAGCAGCGCCATCTAGCTGCGATGAGCCGCAACAAGACGCTTACCAGCATGCCGTGCACAGTCGGTCAAGCAGTATCGCCAAAGCAGTGCAAATGCGTCCTTGCTATTACATTGAGGGGGAGGAGTAAAGAGAGGGAACTTTCCTAAGCTGGCAAAGCTATGAAAATGATAGCAATAAAACACAAAGAGTTCGAGCTGAACACGATTTTCAATGTTTAGTTAAATGTGGTGTTGAAATAAGCCACAACTAACGCAACTATTGTAAATAATGGTGTTCGCAATGTCTACTTAATGATATCCAATTAAGATTACACGTTGAGCAACACTGCGGTCCAGTGTGACCACACATTGCAATTAGATTCATTGCTATTGCCAAAGTCAGCTGTTCCTGTACTTAGTAGACTGCATTTCTGCCAATGATCTCGAAAATCTTTTACCTCTTTGGGTAAAATCAAAAAATTAAATATTTCTTCAAAACGTACACATATCAAATATCGTTTCTCTAAGTTTGGTAGCCTTAAGGAAAACTCTTTTAAAAAGAAAATTCTAAAATTGGGAGTAAAATAAATATTTTTATATATGATACCGTTCATATGAACACAACTTGTTTCAAAGCTTTCGAGATAGAGACTTGAAACTTGGAACATATGCTTGTCTCCGTAAATCAATAAAACCGACAATCGCAAATCGATCAGGCTGCATATCTCCCACAATTATAAAGATAGCATCACCAAGCTTGGAAGGTATCTCGCTCGTAATCTCCTTCAAAGATCGGCAAATACATTTTAAGATCACGCCCACACCCGCTTCGCCCAGGAATTTCGGCCCTATAAATCTGAAATGTGCATATCTTACACAATTTATTTAATTTTAAAAGTAATTCACTGATAACTCCCCTAGGAGATCCATGGAAAATTGGAATTGGCCCACACCGACTGCCCAAACCGATACACCTGTTAGTGTAAGTCTATAAAAGTATATATTTGGCACAATTTGAAAGCCGGAGTCACCATTTGAAAGGTATATTGCTAGTAAGACCCTTCAATTTCATTTTGGACCACTACCTAAAGCCTATATGTCCTGCAATTTTAGAACTATAGTTAGCAAAGTATATGACTAAGATTTTCCTCCAAAAACTTTTTTGCCCATTCCCAAAAGCCCTTATCTCCTGTAATTTAAGAGCAACAGAAATCAAACTTGAAGGTAGATTACATGGAACCTTATCTAAATTTTTTTTGTTCCCGATTCTACAAGCTAAAGCTTATTATGTAAAGCACGCCGTTGATCGGAGTTAAATTGAAATCATTTAAATTCAACTATAAATTTAAAAAAGCGACCGATTCCTGTGAAAGATATATGAAATGAAAGCATTTTGTCAAATTATTAACCAAAAATTGATATTTAACAAATGATTTATTATCAATGATATTTTATTATATATATTTCGATTAGAATTGTATATGTTAAATGCTAAATTATATATTCATTTAGTTTGATTTAATTTTTCTATTTTGATCGTCTCACTAACAAGACTATTTAATGTATATATATATTTCTTTTTGCTGCAGACAGTATATATGTCGGAGACGAACGGATTGTTTCATTATATTCTATAGATTTCAACAACACAAGCGCTCTAAAGATGTTTATGTATGAACAACTTTTTTGTTTAACAAAATATTCTAAAATACTTATTTAAAATTATTTTTAGCTTAACAAGTTATCCGAACCAAACTAATTAGATCTGCGAATTATTAGGACTCAATATTCTGCTATATAACCCCGGCTTACATAAAAAAACGAATTAAAATGAAAATCGCTTTGAAAACGACAAAATAGTTCATGTCTTTCAAAATTATATCTTCAAAAAAATATTCTCAAATTATAATTTTTATTTTTATATTCTAAAAACTATAATTCTTAACGATAGAATTTTTTCTGAAAATAAAACCTTTAATTAAATGATTTAATAAACGATCACACTAATATGGAATAGTAAAATTAGTAACAAAAAGATAATGCAAGAGTTTCTCGCGAACATATCCAAAAAAAAACCCAGGAATTTAGACAATTTCTTTTGTGTATTTCCAAAAATTGCATCCGGAAATAAAAAAGTAAATCACTGGCTTTTAGGAGGACACAATCTTTCGGCTTAGAAATATACTTTCTGAATAATAAGCTAAGTTACCTTTGGCGCCAAATGAATGAATAAATGTAAAAAATAAGCATGTGTTTCTATGCGATATAGAATGTCAGCTACAAATTCTAATGATATTTTTGAAATATCTGTTAATTATATAAATCGGTCTATAATATACATAACTCAGATCGAAAAACGAGACGATTTTATTAATTAATTCAAAAACTGTCTTAAGTACATTAGATAAGTGTTCACTTGAGAAATCAACGGTTACTTGGAATACTTATTCTAATTGTTATGATTGCCACCCTATAAGTAGTCGCAGACAGTGTAACGATTGTATACATTTTATCGATTTGTTTTCGCATTAGTAAGACCTCCGCAACTCAGTTGTATTGGGGTTTAAGCAACACGAAGCCTGCGGGCCTTACTTTGAGAATAGATCTAAAACAAGCATAGGCGAGTGTGGTCACTCGGATGCACCACTGCTCATTGGGTGCAATTCGTAAGTGGAGTCACGTAGAACGACAGTTTTCAACGCGAACAAATGGCATATGTCTGGTGACAACGACCT